GATCCACTCACTCGTCCTACCCTGGATCCCGTGCGCCTCCAGTTTAACCCGCAACCTCTTGTGAGGAACGGTATCGAAAGCTTTCGCGAAATCTAAATAGACGATGTCCACAGGATTCCCTTTATCCCTCTCTTCCGTCGCTCAGTCGTAGAATTCGAGCAAATTGGTGAGACAATTTCGACGCCTCCTAAAGCCGTGTTGAGAGTCCAGAATGAGCGCGTTTCCTTCGAGGAAATCCAAGAGATGGTCCCTTAGTATGCTCTCCATGATCTTCCCTGGGATACTCGTGAGACTTACCGGCCTGCAATTTCCTGGATAAAGGGAGATAGTTATGTACATGGTGTATCCTCAAAAATTTATATGAGCCTCAGATGTGCCTGTAAGTCATATGTGGGGGTTATTCCGTCTCCCGGGTGTGTCTCTGGGACAACTTGGGGTGTATTTGTGTCGACAGCAGTGGCGTAGCCAGGTTTTCGTCAATTTCGGGGGGGCTAACTTCTCGTCGGGGTGGGGCGGACGCATTCCGATCAGAGTTGAGGGGGCTTGAACCAAACTTGGGGGGGGGGGGGGGGGGGGGGGGGGGAGAGAAGCCCCCCCCACAGCCCCCCCCTTGCTACGCCACTGGTCGACAGTAGCCCATTGGTTCCCAAAAAAAAAAACGGAACTGCCTTATTCCCAATCAAAGGAAGCCCGTCATCTCAAAATTGCTCGAACTTGTGATTCATCCAAGAGTCTCAGGATGTACATGATAAATATTTTACGCTCTGGTAAGCTACGTGGAGAACCGAACACTCATTAAGGGCAATGACGCACGGGCGGGCAGGAAGTTGCCGCTGTTGCTGCTTTAACTAGGACATCACTGGTACATGGTTTGCTGTGTAGCGTGGACGCGCTCGCAAGCGGACCACGCTAGGCGGCTCATTATCTGAGGGGAGGACGTGGGCCGAACCTCAAGTACCTAGGCGCAGGAATATCAATTACTTGTTCCATCTCCAGCATATCCATGAACGCTAGCTCCATACCATATGAGTGGGAACTCGTTATCAGCGTATCAACTGACGAGTGGTAAACATAGGCCTAATAGCACCCAAATATTTATGTTTGGACCTAAAAAGTAACGCTGGACTACGATTGAAACCTTATCTTATCTTAGTCAGATTTAGATCAATGGTCATGACGCTAGGATGATTGACCTTTCCTGACTGGGGAGAAATCCCATCAAGTTCACTCTGATCAGGTTTGCTTCAATAGATGTGGTCCCATTCAAAGTTTAATGTATTTTTGTGGGAAAAATACACTCCACACTGATCTGTCATTTTTAGAGCAGAGCAGATTGGCACTGTAATAATTTTTCAAGCTATTAGGCAATGAAAATTTGAGAAAACAGTGATCTTAATTGCAGATATAGGTTGGCCAGAAAGTAACTTTAATCTTTTAGAACGTATGCTTATCTGTTAAAATACAATCTTATACAATGTTTATGTTTCATTTTTAGAATGCACTGTTTCTTCTATCTTTGTTATTATGTTTTATTATGTCTACTGAATGAACACCATTCATACACTGTTTTGGGATTTAATTCATACCTCTGGGCAGTGGAGAATGGAGAGAGCACTACTTCCATAGAATCACACCTTATTAAGTCAATGTTTGAGTAATCACATAAATTCAATTAATTTATGGCCGTTTTACTTTTTTTTTTTTATTGAGGTGTATGTTAAGCTGTAGTTTGTAGTCTGTTGGTCTGGATATTATCTTAGGGTAGGCCTATATTTGGAGTATTGGCAAAGTTTCTGGTGTGTTTGCATTACAGTGTTTCTAGAATGACTTTAACCCCTATTAACATAGGTTCCATACTTTTCAGTAGATCCTGTCCATTGAAACAACTTGGCAAAGTAGTACTTTTAACACTTGCAATAATGTCGATTCAAGCAATATTACAGAATGATATATTTAAGATTAATATAAACTAGTTACTCTCATACTCAAAACAGGATTTTGCAAGACCCACTTACACCTCTACTATTACACTTCTTGTGAAATGTATAAGCATGTCATTAATAACAGGGTTCACACTAGCTTTTATAAATCTTGAGTCCTGGCACCTAACTTCAGCTTAGTGGGAACATGTTCAGTTGGTTGTCAATGAGTTCCCACGGACTTAGATGTTTTTCAAATATGAGTCCACCTCCAAGAAATTATGAGTCAGGGACTCGCTATAGCGAGTTAACGTGAACCCTGAGTAACGATGATGAAGACAAGATGTCTTTCATGTCACTGCAGGCAACAGCACCATGGAAAGGGGGTAGGGGGGTTAAAGTCAATCTGGAAACCCTGTAGTGGTCTTACTCTATTTCCTATCACATTGCTGTTAAGGCATATTGTACTTTCTTGCAGGTTCGTCATGATTGGCCATTCCTGTCAAAGTTTTATGGTGTGTTGTGTGAAATAAAATTTTGAGATGGAGTCCACTATGGAAAGAAGACCATTACTGCACATAAGGGGGTCCATTAATACAGATGAGTTCCTTGATGACTCTGTCAAAGTTAGTCCTGATTGTGGGAAAGTCCTCAGTGCAAAATACGAAAGCCTGGACTATGATGTATGTGAGAATAGTCTTCTCCTTGAAGAAGAGCGTCGTCGGGGATATCCTTATATTTTGCGTATGGGCATCTCTCGTTGGCTGGTTATGTGCATAATTGGGGCAGCAACTGCTTTAGTAGCCTGTGTTATTGATATCAGCATTGACCAATTGACAACATTGAAGTATCGAGTCCTGAAAAAGTTCACAGACCAATGCATTCTTGAAAACTGCCTTGTGACACCATTTTTGTTATGGGCGAGCTTCAATGTTTGCTTTGTGATAATTGCTGCCATATGTGGATCCTGTGTGGAACCTGTAGCTGCAGGAAGTGGAATTCCTCAAGTGAAGTGTTACTTGAATGGAGTGAAGATCCCCCGTGTCGTGAGGATCAAAACATTGCTTGCAAAGGCAGTTGGTGTGACATTCTCTGTTGCTGGAGGTTTAGCAGTTGGAAAAGAAGGGCCAATGGTTCATTCAGGAGCTGTGATAGCAGCAGGTGTATCACAAGGAAAGAGCACCTCATTGAAACAGGATATTGGCATTTTTGAATACTTTCGGGAAGATCGTGAAAAGCGTGATTTCGTGTCAGGTGGTGCGGCTGCTGGTGTTGCTGCAGCATTTGGTGCACCTGTTGGAGGTGTGTTGTTCAGTCTAGAAGAAGGTGCCAGTTTCTGGAATCAGTCCCTCACATGGCGAATATTTTTTGGCTCCATGGTGTCAGTATTTGTGTTGAATCTTGTCCTTTCTGCTTATCATGGCCAGCCTGGGCAACTGGCATATGCTGGTCTCCTGAACTTTGGCAAGTTTGATACTCTGAATTATGATTGGTTGGAGCTGCCAATTTTTCTCTGCATGGGTGGTATTGGTGGACTGTTGGGAGCATTCTTCAATCAGCTTAATTATAAGTTGAGCAAGTTCCGCATGAGGCATATTGGACATAGAGCTTGGATGCAGGTGATGGAAGCCATGATTGTTGCTGCTACCACAGCAACTGCTGGGTTCATAATGATCTACACGATTGATGATTGCCGTCCAATAGGACAGGATCCCAACAAATTCTCCATCCAGATGTTCTGTGGCGATGGAGAGTATAACACTTTAGGTGCTCTGTGGTTCCAGACACCAGAAGCAAGTGTACGGTCATTCTTTCATGACCCCCCAGGAAGTCATCATCCGGTGTCTGTGATGAGCTTCTTCATTGTGTATTTCCTCCTTGCTATTTGGACATATGGCTTGGGAATCCCATCTGGATTGTTCATCCCAGGTCTGTTGACAGGAGCTGCATGGGGACGTCTAGTTGGAATGGGTCTGTCAGCTGCTTTTCCAACTGCAGCTTGGGTAGATCCAGGAAAATATGCTCTTGTTGGTGCTGGTGCCATGCTAGGAGGTATTGTGAGGATGACACTCTCCCTTACTGTCATTCTCATAGAGGCAACAGGAAACATCTCTTTTGGGTTACCTCTCATGATAACTTTGATAACAGCCAAGTGGGTTGGTGATTACTTCAATGAAGGCATTTATGACATGCAAATAGGATTAGCTGGAGTCCCCATTCTTGCCTGGGAGGCTCCTCCTCTCTCCAGGACTATATATGCCCCCCAGGTGATGAGTCATCCTGTCATCACTTTCTCACCTGTGGAGAAAGTCAGGAATATTGTTAATGTGTTAAAGACAGAGGTACACAATGGATTTCCTGTTGTAGAACATTCTTCTTGTGATAGTGAAGAATTGGGGCGTTCCTGTGGGAGATTAAGAGGGTTGATACTACGATCACAACTAATTACCCTTCTTCAACAGAGGGCCTTCAATGAAGAGCCAGCATTGCTGTCTAGACACATTGCAATGAAGAATTTTCGTGCCAGTTACCCTCGATATCCCAGCATACGAGAAGTGGAGTTGAAGGAGGAAGACATGGAACATACAATTGATCTGAGGCCATACATGAATCCATCTCCATACTCCATACAGCATAACACATCTCTACCAAGAATCTACCTACTCTTTCGTGGACTTGGCCTGCGCCACTTGGTGGTTGTCAGTGACAGTAATCAAGTTGTTGGTGTGGTGACTCGCAAGGACCTGGCTCGATTTCGTGCTGGGCATCATAGAGGGCAATCAGGAACTGAAGAATTACTTATATCTGAGAGAGTGTAGGTCAGGGAATTTGACAAACTGGACCAATCTTTGTGATAAATGTATGATCTTATTGTGTGAAGTCAGGTTTCCCTTTCATGTACTTCCAGCATCACCCTTCCCCTAATGGGTGAACATCATGATGGGCTTTTTAAAAAATGTATTTTGTTTGGTGGGCATCCTTACTTAAAAGAGTAAGATCAGAAAATTGATATTTTTGTCACAGAGAGTTTTAATCAAGTGCTAGATGCTCTCTGCAAATTATGGCTATAACTGGAATGTTGTGTAAGTTGGCATATGAAACATTTTCTTTTCTGAGCTCTTTTTACTTGTGTAAGATGCATTCAGAGCCTGTCTCAAAATTTCATATATGAAATTTCCATGATGGCCTTAAGTGTCATTATCATCATACTTCTCCAGACTGGTAATTTTACCCACCAACTTATTTTCCTTTTTGAGAAGGTAGTAAATGAATAATTGAAAGAAAAAAGGGAATTCTCAAAATGTATCTTACATCTTATCTTAGTACATAGCATAGCATGAAAGAGAAGGGCACTTCTACTCAACTTTTGAGGAAAATTCCAGGAAAGATGGGTTCTTCTGCAAAAGTCAAACTTACTGTAAATCTTCTGAACTGCAGTATCCCAAATACAGACTATCAGCTTGTGATTTCCATTAATCCCATGAGTTTTTGATTTGGTTTCACACCATTGATCTGTCTTGTTGGCCACAAGTATTTGTTCTCAGCCTTTCTGTGAAGAAATTTCACTCCTACTTTAACAGTCTTGGTATCTTTTATTTATGCAAAATATCTTCAACACCTGACCTTAATACTGATAGTAAGTCTCCTTAAAATCAAAAGCATTGAAGTTCAGTATTATCATATCTGCTTTAGCTTTTGGTAGTGATGACTGCAGTAGCCTATGGTCATGCATTCCGACTTATGAGGCAGTAATTGAAGTTTTTTTCTTCATTCTTGAAGTTTTTACAATTTTTCATTGTCCTTTTCTTTAGTCATCCTCATCATAAAACATATCATTGTCTAATTAGTTGCTGATATTGTGCAAGGGTATTTCATTTGAGTCTTCAAGATCTGAGTTGATGCTCTCATGGGTTACTTTCTTCTTGCGCTTTATACTTTTCATAGTCAGAACAGACTATTTTGATGAATGTCTTTCATGAACCTACTTTGCAGTTGTCTGGTTATTTTTCTAATTTTTTTTTCATGCTTTTCCCCCTCTTTCAATTTTTGTTATGCTGCTTTTGGTTTTTCCTTGCCAAACTTTTCTGAAAACTTTCACCTGAGTGAACTCCAGTGCAAACAACTAATAAGGAGAGGTCTAAAACTTTTACCCCTCCTATCCAAGACCAGGATTTCACTGACAGAAAGGAGCCATGCAGCTGACTTTAAGTCTGAGATATAAGAGTGTTTCCAAAATGGATTAAATTAGGAACATAGGTTTGTCATTGTGGAAATTGTTTCTGCATGAAAACAAGTGAAGGTGGAAGTGTGAAATTTCTCTGAATTTGTCAGAAAATGGCCCAGGGCACAAGAAACATTTTAATATGGCCACATCCTAGTCTTGCATTCTGAACAAATTGTGGCAACTTCTGGCTCCTTTCATCCTGCTCTTTCATTGAGCTTAAACCTTCACTGACAACTTTTTTCAGAGTCAGTGGTTTTTATGGGATGTGGTAAGCATGGACTCACTCAGGTAGTGCTGCTGTCAATGTTATGAAGCCTTTACGATAATAGTGATGACAATGCAGTGAATATTACTTATATCTCTTGTTCCCTATTTAACCCTTTAAAAGGGTTCACTCTGGGGTAAATGTGATCCCAGACATAATTGGACTTGTGGCAGTAATGCTAATGAGATGCATGGTAAACTTCTGCACAGCTATTTTTAGGAGCTGTCATATAATGGTTCTCTATTGTTGAATCAGCTACAATTAAAATCCTAGATTCTTGTAGGCAATAGAAAACAATGCAGTCATATCTACATAAAAATAATAATGAATATTTTGTGCTGTTGAATGGGATGATAGGTAATGGAAGGCAATCAGAATAAATCAGATGGCATCTTGCTCTTCCCAGGGAAGAGGCCTGAAGGAGATCAGGCAGTTCAATGAGACCACTAATTTTCAGTCCCCTTTTAGGCTTACAGCAAATGAAAGTGTCTAATTTATTCTGCCTCCAAAATGCTCACAGCAGAACCAAATCTTAATTGTCTGCTTTTTTGCCTAGGCCTTCTGAATATGATTATATGAATAGGAAGGTATATGTGATGTCAGGATTATAAAATTTGTCTGTTCAAGACAAACTTTAATCAACATCGTGAAAAATATATGCATGCTCATGGAAATAGTGTGCATAAATGATTGCTGGCTGTTACATTTAATAAAGGGTTACTCATGTATGATCTGAATTGTCATGATTCAGGAAACTTACACACTAATGGGAGATAGTATGAGGAGTGAGAAATCTCAAATATATGCTCTTGCACAATCGATTTGTAAAGTGGGAAGTTTGAGGAAATTTTAAGGAGCTCTAGGTATCATTTTGATCAGCTTTGAACCTGATCATCATTATATTATTCCCTTTATTTGCTTTCAATTTTTTCACAGACATTCTTGCAGCTGAATTTTTTTTGCCCATTTCACGATAATCAACTTTTCCATTATTGTCATAGAGGGCAAAATCTGACAATATTTGACAGAGCCTTTAGCAAGAATTCTTTTTCTGCTGTGAGGGGCAGATATGCCTATTCTCATTTCTGCTGCTTTCCTTACAGTTTTCAATTATGGTATCCATGAAAGCCAGAGGATTTCAAGCTCCAGTGGGGCTAATGTTTTTATTTTGGTCATGTGTGATCTTCCCAAGTGCACATGGCCTCTTATGGCAGAGTATTCAAGTGGATCTCTGCCATGGTGATCGAAGCCCTTGCTCTCAAGGATCAAAATGCTGTTCACCCTTTGTCAATGGAACTCAGACTCTTGGATGTTGTCCCCATGTAGATGGGAACTGCTGTGAGGGAAGCCTCACTTGCTGTCCTTCAGGTATATTGAGCTAGAAAACCCCTTGTCTACAGGAGCAATTATTGAAGCCTCTGGCCTTTTAGCATTACCTATTCAGCTGCCTTATTTCCTTATATTAGCATCGTAGATCTTTTGGGCATTAGTAAAAAGTTTTAATAAATTTTTAATAATAGTAATATGATCACCAAGTAAGTCATCACTACCTACCTTGGGAGGTGACTTGTGATTGTTGCTAAGCTAAGCATTGGTCTCCAGTATTGAAAAAAGGGATGATTAAGATTTCTTGTCTGTAGCCTTTATGCATAGAAATCCATCTCAGGGATAAACTTTCAGTGAGGTCAAAGTAGGCCAATTTCATGGTACATGGGACAATTTCAAAGGGTGAATGATAATCATCATGAATTTATGTAGAATATAAAAATTGAAGGATTTGTATCCCATTCACTTATTCATCATTTACCATGTGTTCTTCTGAACCACAGGATCTGTATGCAGTGAAAAGGGAGATAGATGTGTGATTGATGAGAATCAGTCATGGCTGGAAAAGTTGCCTTCAAAAGATCCTGGATCCTCAGGTGATTTGTTTTTTAAGTTTTGAGGGTATAGATATGTATTTGCACGATCAGCTATTTTTCCAAAGTTTCATCTTCCCATATGATCCTGTAGGAGATGCAGTGACATGCCTTGACAAATCTGAATGTCCTCTGCATACCACATGTTGTGAATTGCCTAGTGGCAAGTATGGATGTTGCCCCATGGAGAATGCAGTTTGCTGTTCCGATCATGTTCACTGCTGCCCTGAAGGCTCCCAGTGTGACGTTGAACATCGGAGGTGCTCCTCACAGTCAACAGCAAGTCCTACATGAAAATATATAATTTATCTGCCTCATTTAAGAATGGATTGAGATGCTGAGAGAGAATAGGCTCTTAGTGATGCTCTGATCATAATTTTCTCAGTATCATGGAGAGAGTGTTCTGCCTCTTATGCAAGAACTGTTATTCTGAGAGTCATGAATGAGAACAGTCAGCTTGGTTTATCTTTACAGGTTCTTGAAGTTTCCCAGCACAAGAACGAGTTAGAAAATGTTATCTGCCCAGGAGGTGTGTTCCAATGCCCTGATAAGTTCACTTGCTGTCCTGTCTCTGGTGGATATGGCTGCTGTCCTCTCCAAGGTGTAAGTCACCCCCCTCCCCTATTATGTCATATCCCCCTCCCCAAAAAAGGGCTCCATTTTGCCTTGAGTGGGTATTGCAGTGACTTTTCTCTTACTATTACTGGGGATCTTTCACTGCTATGACAGCTTTACAGCAAATGACATTGCTGGAGAGCTCTGCTCATTGTGAGCATTGCATGTGGGCAAGTGTTAGTATTGCATGAGGGGAAACCTGTCACCTTGATGGTAGGTTCATTATTTTTTCCTCATTGTATTTGAAAGACTTGTCTTCATCCACTTAACTATCATCATCATGGTGTACTTCTTTCTTCCAGGCCACATGCTGCAAGGATGGAAAACATTGCTGTCCAAAAGGCTATAAATGCTTGGGTCTTAACACCTGTGCTGTGGATGAGGAGTGAAGTGAAGAGGGCCTCTCGAGCTTGGGTTTGCTAGGGCATTATATTACATATCAGAACCAATGTCATTTGAACCTTTAGTAAACATCATGGCATTTCTGATTCAATACTTTTATTTGACTCTTGAGTTTCATTACTTTTGTCACATATCGATGGCAGTTGATCAAAACATCTTTTCCCTCATTTATCAGCAGCATTGACTTCAAACCTTTCTAAACACAAATTTTTCTCATGGAAAAGTTTACTTGCTCATGAAACTGAGTCTCATGTGCTTTCCTCAGGAAGGATATCTACAAACCAATGCTTGAGTTTTAATCCACCTAGATGATTTCTTTTGTACTTCTGGATGCAAAAGTAGGGTTAGGTAGTGTTCTAGTAATATCAGGGGAATGCTCACTGGTGACAAGGTATGACAATTACCAACTGCACCTGCAGGTGAAAAAAGCATGTTCACTCATTTCACATTCTTGTAAACCTGACTGCTGTTAAGATAGATTTACTTTCATTCAAGGTATCTAATACATATACCGGATGTTGCACATGTCCCTCCTTCCACAACCTAAACTGTAAGAACTAGGAAAAAAACTCGTTTAGATTCAAAAATGAAAGCTTTTTCTCATACATGTACTTATAGTTATTTGCATGCACCTTGGTTGTGTCTCTGACAGCTTTAAGAGGAGCGGGATAAGATGAAAAGAGACGCTCAAAGAGTTCCGTGTCATCTTCCATGTCCAACACTCAGGTGGTGTTGCTTTGCAAGGCTTCTTGGGCGAATCCATGCTTCTAACCATCCATATGCATGAGAGCCTCAACTCGATCTTATGGGATAATCCCCAATGTTCTTAGCCACATTCAGATCAGGAGAGTTAGCGGGTGATTCTGCATTCCAAAGAAATCAATTCCTGAGTCATTCAGCATTTGCTGTGTGGTCAAAGTTTTGGAAAATAGGGCTTTATCAGGCAGAAGCTGAATGTTAAGGGTGGATTTTTGAACAGAGCACTATCTGATAATGCAGCTTTATTTCAGAGAAAATGCATTATAAATCCATTTAAGCTGCATTATTGGATAGTGCTCAGTTCAAAAATCCACCCTAAGTCTTTTTCAAAACCCGTGGGAATGGGTAACGAATTCAGCCCTGGCATCGCAAGCTTCTTGAAATGTAATAACACAGATGTGATGAATGAATTTAAGTTCTCCACCACCATATGACATCAGAAACAACAAAATGGGATTGAATGGAATCAAAATTGAACAAGGATTCCAAATATAGGATGGTTTAAAAAAAATGCTCTACCATTTTCTATGGGAGAAATACAGTTTCATAAATGCAGCAAAAAAAATTGCATTGGATACACAATCGATATTTGACAGTTACAAGGTGTAGAAATGATTGTCAGCTTTTTTTCAGCTCCCCTGCTTAAGTCGTGCAATCCCCATTTAGAGGTGAATTAAAGGTGCTTAGAGGTGGATCATTCCACCCCAAGCGAGGTGATTACCTGTGCTTGACCGTCTCAGAATTCAATGAATTTTTCAACTTTAACTTTTCAAGGGACTAGTTGAATTCAGCTGATACTTGAAAGAGAAGTTCATGAGTCTAAGAGGTTTTTTTCACTTCCGCAAGATGGTGCTGTATCCCGATAACGGGCGCTGTTGTTGACCAGATGATAAAGGGTAGTCAGGAAGAGGGGTTTCACTGTATTCATTAATAAAGGTGTGTTTATACACACACTTTTGGTACTTATATACACACTTCAGAAATACCCTGCACAATGGCAAATTCACAGGACATTTCAATGTTAATGAGTTCATGACAAACGAATTGAAGGTGACACTTTCTCAGAGGTATAATTTCATTTCTCAACCAGAAAATGATCATGAGTGAGAAATATGTATGTGAATGAATTACTCCAGTATACCCCTTTCAAGATCAACATGTAGTAAAGCCTAAACCTTCACATTCCAAAATCACAGAATTTCCTCCCGTAGAGACCTCCTTGAAAGTCACCTAGAACAAACAAAAAACATTTTTAAATTTCAGGCCAAGGCCAATTACAAGTTTTTCTTGTCAGATGACACATTAAGCACCCATATAACTTTTGAGTGTCAAGTTCCTGTAAAGAAGTACACATTATAACATCCTATTCTGGAGAAAAACAGTAGTGGAAGCTTTAACATCTTGCCCAAGTATGGCTCTTGTCTCACACATTCCCTGAGTCCTCTCTTTTTTTTTTTTCCTGGCACACCACAAAAACAATCTACTGTAGAGTGCCAGATATTTAAAAAGAAAAAAGTGACCCTTATAACAGTGAAGAGGCAGTCTTGTATAACCTTCTGCTTCCAGAATAATTACCATGCCAAAATCCATTGTTAACATCCATGTTTGTAGCAATGGAAGATTAAGTCAATAAGGGAAAATCTAGGAGAAGGCAGGTAAAAGAGAAAGAGTTTTGAAAAGACCAGACTAAACAAGGGGGAAGACCATGATTTTCCAATTCTCTACCATGTGTCCCAAATTGCTCAATAAAAAAAAAAATCAATGTGATATTGGGTAACATCACATAGAGATGCATAAAAAAGGATTGATGGCTTACATTCATGAGTTGCTCAACTACATGGATGGCAGTGCGAGTGTGCAAGGTAGGTGGAATGCTCTTCACACGAGACACACCTTTGGCCAGAGCCATCAGTATCACCAACTGTACAAAATGAATAAATTTTAATGCCAGTGGAGAAGAGGCATTTGCCCCCATCAGGAAAATGGCTAACTTATTTCATACAGAGCAGGGGTTGCACTAATCTTCTTGCCTTAGGGTTCCCAGGGACCCTTAGGTCTGATGAGAAAGGGTCCTCTGAAAGTTTTGAGGGTCTCATTGCAAATGAACCATGATATAGGGTGGATTTTTGAACAGAGAACTATCCGATAATGGTGGTTTATTTCCAGGAAATATCATGTCTTTTCCCTGGAATAAAGCTGCATTATCGGATAGTTCTCTGTTCAAAAATCCACCCTAAATCTTGTAAATTTATATAATAAAAAAAATTACAAGTTCAGCATTCCATGTTTATTCACTGATTTAGCATAGTCAAACAGCAATCCAGCAGCATTGGGACTACTTCTGACGTTTCTTCTATGACTTGAATACCCCCAAGGCATCTTCAAATTTAAATTCACCCAGTGATGGCCCATTCAAGTTTATTGTCATTAGACGGTGCATTTGTTGATCTGAGAGGTGACTTCGCAAATTATTCCTCAGTAAATTTTGTAAACTGAAACCCCTCTCACATTCGACACTTGTCAAGGGAACTGCCAGTAAAATCTGCCCAAGAACAGCAAAGTCTGGGAAGTCATCAGAGAATTGTTGAATGGTAAGTTTTATGCAATCAAAAATGTTCCTCCCTTGCATGCTTTGCAGCAAGAATTTGAATTGCAGATAATCCCCTTTACAGCGTTCTGCATCTATGAGCCCTGAAACAGGTCCATCCTTACTTTCCCTTTCTGCTTTTTATGCAATCAAAAATGTTCCTCCCTTGCATGCTTTGCAGCAAGAATTTGAATTGCAGATAATCCCCTTTACAGTGTTCTGCATCTATGAGCCCTGAAACAGGTCCATCCTTACTTTCCCTTTCTGTTCCCTAAAAATCCAACAGCTTTGCCAGCTGTTGTGCGAAAGTTCAAAGGCTCTTCCATCTCTACAGGAAAGCCAGGGATACATGTTGACCCACTCCGTTTTCCATTTCCTATCTTTTCTCTTTCGTTGTGAATCGTGGCTACCATGCTGCTCGACTTCCTCATCATCCCCCACGTCCATCCCTTTCCCTTTGCTTAGACTAGGCGATGGTCTAAGGTAATTTTCCTCTTCCTGGGCATCCTAAGTGAAACAAATATATGACCTTCGTTTAGGCCTAGGGCTGTTCCTACCTTATCTTCTGTGACACTAGGCTTATTTTTAGGAACGCCTGAAGGTATGCAAACGCTAATTCGAAGAAAAACTAACATTAGCTTTCCGCTTGAAACTGAAAGAAAAGAGCGTAGTTCTGGAGCTGCCTGAGGCCATAGTTAAAAGAAACGGAAGTACGTCAAAGATCACGTGATCACTATGCAACTTAGGTTGCGCTCCTCACTTTTCACGTACGCACACCGTCTCGGAAATTTCTTCGCTTCCGTAGCAATAACAGGGTCACTTACACACGACGACTATTTAGGCACGTTTCAAAATAAGAAACTGCCAACAGGTCTGAAAATCGGCTTGAGTAAACAAATTCCTCGTGCGTCCTGGGGACCCCGGTGTTATTCTTTTGTGCGTCCCGTTGGAATTTTGTGTGTATAGGACGCATATTTGCGCGTAAATGCAACCCCTGTATATAAGATAATTATGAAACAAATTTTTAACTCCTTCTAGTCCAAACTCTCTTTTCATCAACATGGAACTTTTTGATTTGCATGACCAAGAAACGCAAAAAGAAAAAAAATGCAGTACATGTATCAGCATCTCTTCGGTTGCCAATCCTGGGTATTTCAAAAAGACTCCTTCTCTGAGTCATGTGGCTTGACATTCAAAAACTTGCCTAGCAGACCATGTTACAGTAATTATCAACAAACATGAATGGCCCCCATACAACTCTGACTGTAATCCCAAAGATTGCTAAGTCTGCTTGAAGTAAATAAGTAAATGCTGAAAACAGAAAGCAGCAGCCTGAATTAGTTAAGACTGATGCTGAAAGTAGAGTGGAACCATATCCATTTAATGTAACCAACCAGTAGACTCAAAGATTGTAGGTTGCTTTCAGTAAGAACAGGAGAGACAGAAAGTATTTAGCGAGTAGTGACAGTGATTCATTTTGTCAGTTGATTCTATGGGAAGTTATTACAGTATTTATTACAGTAGAGTATTATTACAGGAAACACAAGATGTTAAATTGGAGTGAATATTTAATGCGAACCCTGTAGTCTAAGAAAATGTGCAATAATTGTTGATGATAAATACAAAATTCTATCTGACAAAGAACAACCAGCAAGGTTGGTCCTGAGGAATAACAACTTGCTTGAAAAAAACAAAGATATTAGAAACAATTTTTAGGGGGGAAAAAAAAAAACAGGGAACAACCAGCATACCTGGATGTAGTACTCAGCAGCATGATTGAAAGAGTTGAGGGCACCATTGATGAAGGACTTGAAATGAGCAATATTAAGCAGGCTCTTGTGGCTCATCAGCTGGGAGATCTTTCCAATCCCCTTGCCCTCCCAACACTGGGACACCCAGCAAAAATGTCCTCAGTCCACCAAGATGCAGGTCACATTTGGTCCATTGCATCCTTTCCTTATGAAGGTCAGGTCTGTGCTGAGAACAGTCATGGAAAATTTCATATTGACTCCCAAAGTCTAGATCTCACATCAATTTGAGGTAAAAACTTAGCTTGGGTTGCCAGCCCCCAAAAATTTTTGTTGCAATTCAAATGAAATCAAAATCACAGACCAAGCCCTGCTCATTTTTAGGTCACATCATACAAAGAAAACAACTACAACATATTTGTGCAATTGAAACCAAACATGCAGGTTACATATACTTGGGAAAATTATTTTATCAATTGAACTCTCAAATTAAATACCACCAAACATCTATCAAAGTCGACCTTTCCAGTAAAATTTTAATTTGTTCAGTCGCCTTTCTATAGCTTTAAACTGACTTGCAATTTGCCCATCACAGAATGAGACTGATATTTCCACATGGGACTCTGGATCTTCTCCAGTCCATGCCACAGGAGGACCTCACTCTGATGGTTCTCCTCCAGAATCAGATTTGATTTGGGACATCTCTGTGAATCCATCCCCTCACAGTCAAGTAGTTGTACCTGAGAATCCAATTATTTTCTAAATTACTGAAGTGGTCATTCCCATTTGATGATGGATGGGTGAAGTAAATTTTGCTCTGACAATGGGGAACTCAATCCAATACAAATTTTCTTTCAAATATTGGGTCGCTGAACTCCAAGTGGATTTCATGGTGTTAGAATTGATCACAACCAGTAAATTCTAACTATGTCAGAATTTATTAATTAATGAATTCTGAGAGTTGGAATTCACAAATTCCACCAATTTTGGTGGAATTAGTTGTCATGCAATAGATCCTCATCATTCACCAGCAGATAATTGTACAATATTTCTTACAACATTACAAATTCTTTAAACATCTCAAAGCAATATGTTTTTTGACCTTGCTAATCAGCTATGATATGCATAAAACTGAGCTATGTACTGGCTAAAAGTAAAACATCACCAGTAAGTTACTCAACAGGACTGGAAATTCACAGCTACTTGTTACATGACCCTTTCCTGGAAATTTTTAAAGAGACTAATAAGGCCTGATGCTAAAAAGAAAGTGCAAAAGAATCATAATGAAAAATTATCAGTATAGCTACAAAAGATGGAATAAGGGCTGAAGGACAAATACAGCGGTGATTCATGAAACTCATGAAACTCAGACCACAAGGAACAAAAACTGAGCAGCACAAACTGGGCAGTGATGGAGCGGGACAGGCAAAAGACTGCCAACAGACCCTCAATGGCGCAGACCCACATGAAACAGTTGCTGGCTGAGATGGTTGGCCCCATGCTGTTTTGGCACTTCCTGCCAGGGTGTCATGGGCCTTCCTGAGACCCAAGGGATCCAAGGACATGCGAAGCATTGACTCCAATTTCTCCTCCCTGTCCTCGTCATACCCTGGATGGAAACATAAGTGATCAATCACACAGATCTGGAATACCTTTCAACATGAAAATAGGTCACAACATACACAGTCTGCTGATGGAAAACAACAATACAATAACTAAGTATGGCTTCATGGGTCATAGAGAATATTCAAAGCAAGGAACCCAAAGATAAAGCTATAATTTGGCTTGGTTCTATTTTACATTGGGAGACTTTCCAAAATTTAAACTTGGATGTACTTGTGTCAAACTGGTTCACCTTAACCATTCATATCTTTCAAGAGAGGCACATGAAATTGTGAACTATTCATGCTTGTGCATTGTTTTGAAGCATCCACACATGTGCATGGGACTCAGGTTAGACAAAACATTCATGACTGCAAGGAAAAATGGACAACTCAGTGGTCATGTCTGTCAACAAACTAAATGGAGTCAGCATTCTTTGAAGGGGAGGAGGAGATGATTGGAATGGAAAAATACAAATTAGCTTCACAGCTTCCACCACTAATGTCACTTAATGCTGATACCAACACTTCCTAGGATTTGGTAACTAAACAAATATGGCTGCTCCTTGACATAAAACAGGTAGAATCGGGTCAGAAAAGGATGAAGGCCTTGTGCAAGAGAGGCAAATAAAAGGACATCAAGATGAAGGGCATGATTGACAATGCTGGTAGATGGTAGAGAGAGAGGGGTCATACAAACCCTCCTGCTCCAAAAGCCAAGCAATGACCACGTTCCCTGTGCTACTGGAATCCTCCACCAATTCCAGATGGGTATAGGGGATTAAAAAAATTTTAAATTGAACTTCTCATCATGGATCATTGATGAAGAAAACTACAGAATAAAGCTGGAGAAATGCATATGTTCCTATGCCTCTTTTTCAATTCATAAATAAAGCATTGAAATATATTCCTGATTGCTCATGTTACTTTTTCAATTGAATACATGTTTAAAATTTAAATTTGATAAAGTTTTCAAACATAGGTTTCCCATAAATGCTGATGGAACTCTCACTCTAACAGATGTATCAGTCACACTACAAACAACACAATTGCATGAGATGCAGTGAGAGGAAGATGGAAGGAGGACATAAAAATGAATAGAAGGAAGCAATTACAGAGCATGTGATATGTATGACATGGGCAAACTGAGCTCCAACACCAATGGCTTCCAAGATCCTCCCTTTACTTGAGGTTGAGGGATGGGTCACTCTGCCTCAGCTCCTGTCACAGCCTCTATCAGCCTCTCCAGCTCCTTGGTCAGATAATAATAATAAAAAAACAATACTAATCCTGCAATTCTAAACCCAGCTCACATTACTCCTTATTTCACCAAGATTTTGCAAGAAAGAATATATATATTTTTTTTATGGCTGTTTCCAATGAGGGCTCCTTTTCTTAGTGATTAGGACATAGCTAACAAGACTAGACTTTTGCAATTCTCTTCAGCACTGGAATAAATGAACCTCCTCAGTTTCAAGTCAACTTGCCATTGTGACTGAAAACATACTATATTTCCTTAATTCCCTGAATAGCAGCAGCATTAGGATGAAAATCTCTCAGACAAACCTCAGACTGAAAGCCATAGCTCATGTGGTATGAGTGCCATACCATATAGGTAGATGGGATTGCTTGTAGGCATGATTCAAGCCCATGGCCTAAATGAGAGTGGGGTTTGTGTTGAGCTGCTCCATGCTGCTCTCATTTGACCAAAAAAGATTTCCAGGCAACATATGGTTTCCAGGCAATGATGATAATAATGACCATGGAATGTTTCTTAAGGAGAGAAGAAGGCAGCACCTTCATTTAAAAAAATAATAGAATCATAGACACCCTCAAGAGTCTTTGTCAGGGTGAGGTCCTGCAGATGCAGTGTGGTTGCCAATGGATAGTCCAAATTGTGAGATACCAGGATCCCTTATTATACCTTATACACCATTGCCCACATTCCTTGTCCCTACACATGGAATTTCACGTTCCACATTTCAGGCTAGAATTTGTCCAGTGGATTCAGGAAAATCTACTCATAGCTAGGGGCAAGTCAATAATCAATTCAGGATAGAACCCATTATTTTAAACTATTCATTAGATTATGGTTGGTATTTTCAATTGTAGGATCTTACTTCTTCATTTAACACTTATTCATATTAATGTATCTATGAAATATATCATCATTTTCATATGCAGACAGTCCATGACAGCATGTCCAGCAGTCCTACATGAACATGGAAGTACATCATAGCAACTCCCAAGACAGCATGTAGCTCATATGGAGAAAGATTCAAAATACCTCAGAAAGAGTGTTCAAATGTCAAATGACGAGCAGAGATCAGGCAGCAGCAGCAGCGATCAGGAAAAGTGGTCCATCTCCACAGCACACTTGGCTCCTCTAAACCCAATGAAGCTGGCAAGCCAGCAGCAGGCACAGTCCACCCAGTCCACATCCTGCAAATAATCATCCTCTCAGTGCTCCATCAGATCCAATGCATACTTCTGGCTGTCAACTGGAATAGCTGAGAGCAGTTTTGGTATTAGTTTAAATAATCCAACACTAATAATGTTATAACTGTCATGTTTACTGAGGCTCTCATTTGTCTTAACTCCTACATATTCATTTGAGTCCAGAAGGAAGAAAAAAAAAAGAGCAAACCCACGTTATTGGCTTCATTTGGCCATAATATATTGAGCGACAAGAAAACTGACTCTCGAAGAGACTACAGGCATGGGTCTTCAATAGCAGAAACCTTTCCACATCAGCCAGAATGGTTGTTGATGGTGCTGTGAAGGCATATTCATCATATAATCCTAAAAATAAGGACTGTGCCCACTCTAGACTATTAAATCAATTTAGTGATACTATATGATAAAATGCTATGTGGATGATAAAGTCAGAACAAAGACAGAAGACAAGGAATAAACAGGTTGAATGTGAAGCCAAATATTGACTAGTACACAAAACAAATAGAATATATTTGTGTTGCTTGTAGTAAATGACAATCCAAATAGTACAGAGAACCTATATAGAGGTATAGAGGGATAGAGCTCTTTACACAGGAAATGAACTAAACTGAACAAAAACTCTTCACACAGAAAATAATCTACTTTCCAGGATGATGGCTTCACATGGCATACCTAGCAAAGGAATATGAAGAATGACCCTGGATCCCCTGGACTTCTGTGTGGAAGCAATTTGTCCTTGAGTCTGCCACAAACAATGTCTCAGTATTAGCAATAGCATGCATCAAGAGTGTTTTCCATTTCTGTTTTCATGATTTACAGGCATGTGAACCAATAACTTGGTCAGAGACCTTTTTGCCTTCCTCAAATGAGAAAGAAAATTTTTTCGCCATCCTAGTTAAGCCTATTCAACCACTTTTTTGCATCACACAGACATTCCTTTGACTTTGTCTTTCAATTCTGATCATGGTCAAAGTTGTGAGGATGGAAAGTAACCTACAGTCACACCCCCAAAAGTAAAACAGGCATGACAGAGATACCCATACCTACCATGATTGCACTGCCTTTATGCAGGCTGAAGGGACTTGATGCACATGCAGCCTTTGTTCCACCCAAAGATCCTCATCACCTACCAAGAATGCCACCATTTGTAAATCATCTGGTCCTCAAGTCATCGGTTATGACTTCTTCTGGCCAAAATACTATGATTGCCTTATACACATATCAAAATCTTCAGCAAGCAAAGATACAATGTTACACTTAAAGCTAGGCTTCCAAATAAATACATACTGACTCCTAATCATCTCATCAAAAAGAATAGAGCATGTTTCATCATTTCTAGTGGAACAGATCAGGAGATTCAGCCCTTCCAGAAAAGGGCCAGGCAGGACCTCTCATCCAACTTTTTTTGTGACAGTTACAAGGTACAACTTATAAAAAATGATCTGAGAACAGGGGAATCAAGTTATCTTCATATGTATTGACCCTAACATATTGAGACTGCGATTGGTCTGATGCTGGTTTCTTAGCTGATTACCCACTCTGAAAATGGTAAGTACTTGTGGTAAATAGACCTGATAGCAGGATGGTAAATACAGTAAGTACAGGATTCTTGAGGTCAAAGGTCAGCCAAAGAAAGCAGGGTCCAGGATGATGGTCACACCAAGCATGAACAATCATAGTAAAAAAGGCCTGACAGATTTCCAGAGATTAACTGGGGATGCCAAGTCCTGCTGGTTAGAGCCATTCACACAGGGCATTGAAAGAACTTCATATGTAAAACACCTGCAGATGAAAATCTACCTATGAAATGGGGAACCCTAAAATAAATGGAGAAAGGCACTCTTAGACTAAATAGATTTCCAACCCCCCATCAACGTAGCACTTCAACTTTAACCACATGAGACAGTGTCCAGTCCATCGGACATGGAGTCATTTCTTCTATCAAGCACTGATGATGACAAGGTAAGATTTTTCTTGACTTCAACAAAAATATTTACATTTAAAACTGAAACAAGAATTTTTTAAATGGAGTACTACAAATCTTTGAGAATTCCACTGACACCTACTGAAAATCCATGAAAACTTTTCCAATATATTAGACTATTCAAACAGGAAACAAGTTGCTCCTATTAGTTACAGTTATTAATTGCTCCTTCTAACCAATAACTGTAACCCACCCAGTTGTTGAATGATCAGCAATGAGTGAGAATGTACTTAATTTGTTCCATTTTTAACAATGTGACTTAATCTGGCCAGTAGGCAAAAACATTTTTTTTTATCTACTTATTTCAATTATAAAAATTACTTTTCTTTGCGACTTTGAATATTCTCTGATGCAAAAAAATTAGCTTCCTCTCTCCACATATGGTGCACAACTTCCACAAGGAATTGCAGATCCCATGTCCACTGGATTAGATTCTGGGTCTCATGAGGTCAAATCTGAAATTCTGCATTGCTTGAAGGGAGAATACATCTGCTCATTTCCCCACCGAAGAAACCCAGCTCAGGCCTCTCCGAGATAAATAAATCCCTTTTAAACTCTGGGTCTCCAACATCGAATACAATACTCTGCAGGGCCCAAAGGCTCAAAACTCTACATAACAAATGCTTCGAGTTTTATGCCCACGCCTTCACTTCTCTCATTTATTTCATTCTCACCTCCCAATGATAAAGGATAAATGAATAGAAATAGAGCACGAAAACTGATAAGATGAATTATTCCCAACCGTTAATGGAAGGGCTAACGTTTGCTTTTGATCGGAATAACATTGATGCGTCGCAAACAAACTTTAGGCCTTGAACGGTCGTGCGAACGTAGGCCTCCCGTTAACCTAAAATCAAAGCAGATTGGGGCGAAGGCGCCTACTTCCTTGCAGCTCGCGTAGAAAACCCCTCGCGTCGTCGTGGGAAATCCTGGCGGAAAGGGATGGGCGAGGATTACATGCTTTATCCCTTCATTTCCTGGTTAACCACGTGCTCTCACGAAGCAGACGCCATCGCCCTTGACTTCGCACGTGGGAAAACGAGCGGGCAAATCCCCTGGTGACGTCACGTCCTACTACGCACGCCTGAGACTAGATGTCTCTCATTGCGAAGGCGAACCACTTCCGCAGCGGAGGCCGAGCGCATCCAACCCCGTGACCAAGAGGAAGGCGCGCGTCGCAGTCCGCTGCCTCTGCAGCCCGCCGACGGAGTCCAAGCATTCTGGGGGTAATTTTTCCATTCCTTTTTCCTGTAAAAGCGAGAAAGAAAATTCGTAATTCATCGTCCACCAACGAATCGCCATCGTGGAACCTGACGGTATTCCTCAACTGAAAAAAAAAGCCAATCGGTATTCCAAAATTTTTTTTCAACCGTTTCTCCGTTCTTGAAGAGCCAAAGGCAAGTGTTCCTTTCCATGGAAAAACCCATGAGCATATTTTTCATTCCGTTCCATTTCATGATTTCACTTTCGCTGGAGATGAACCCATTTTCACTTCTTTTTTTATTTTTACATAAATAACAACCTATCCATTTTCAGCTCCAAACAGTAAGGGCAATAATAGTGCATTTACTGTTGGAACGGAAACTTTTTTTTTCATCGCGAAAAATTGCTCGTGAAAAGTTTTTCTGTCGAAAATTGCGAAATTTGGATTTCTCCAAAATTAGTGCTTCGTTGCAGTTGGCTTTTAAGTTAAATTGCGATGTCGGATGGCAATCCTTCAACTGTCATAGGGCTGGAAATTTCTTCTTGTTTCATGTCGACAAAAATTTGGCGCAGGTAAGCAAAAACTTCCTCTTAGGACGTGAAAGAATCCATGTCCTTCCTAGGATGTATATTATTTTCGTGCCAATTCTGCCAATTGCGTGCCAATAATTTTTATTTTCCTCCAGGAATATTACAGACAATATTCTAAATCGAATTTTTGGCAAAAAAAATTGTTCTCCTTCCCGAGAGAAAAATAGGAACGTTCCGGCAATTGGGATTCCCGCAATTAATAATTAATTACACAGCTCAACTTTGAATGGGTGCCATTCCCACACGGTTGCAATTGGCACACTTCACAGAACAAATACCCCGATGATGCGGGTTTTCCTTATTGTTTTATCGGAGAAGCCCAGGGACTTGCCGTGGCCTCTCCATATATTCATCCGGTTCGTTGATCCACAGAGGAAATTAGTCATGTTGGCAATTTGCAGTTATGCAATTTGTTGGTTATGACTTCACACCATTGAGTCTTCACTGTCAATATGGATCTCCGGTCTATTTGAGTGGACCTCACGCCACCAGGGCCGGATTAACAAGTTGCGGGGCCCTGGCAAGTGGATTCTTGAGAAACCCTCTTAATCCGGCCCTGCAAGCCACGGATGGATTCCTTGAAATCTGTCATCATGGCTCATTACATTCGATAAAATTTCATTTAGGGTAAACAAGAGTCAAAATTCTCGTTTCTTCAAGCACGTATCGCCAGGAGCGGATACAGAAATTTTTCATGATGGGGGGGGGGGCGATTCCCAAGTTCCTACCTAACCTCCCCCCCCCCTGCGTATTGCTCACCCGCTCTGATTTCTGAAGCTTCTTGCCTACTGAACCATAGCACACCATTTAGCACGATAGTCGTTCGAATTGTACGAGAGCTTCCTCAACTGAGACGTTGACTCCTTGCTCACGTCATTCCCACCGTCTGCTGTGCGCGCCCCAGGCGTCGCTCCACGAACCACTCGCATTTTCGTTGCTGGATGGCAAGAAGCGGGTTAAAGATGAAACAGCGAAGAACATCCTCGCGAGGAGCTGGAGGAGTGGTGGAGGCATTCGTCCTCCTCTGCCTGCTGTTCCTCCTTAGTTGCGCTGCTCGAGTTTCACGTCGGTGACGCGACCATTTTTTCCCTCTTGGAGTAGTGGAGGATACCTCCTTAGAAAGCATGCAGCTTGCAGCCGAGGGTCGCGAAACTTCTCTTTATTAAGAAATTCTAGTCCTTTGCATTCACGCCCGAGTCATTCCTAATCAAAGCAGCTTGAGAAAATAGATTGAAAATTGACTCCACCACCACCCGAAGTAATTGAATTTGATGGACTCGTTGGGTTTATCGATGATTTAATTTACGTCAAATTCCAGCGCAATAAGTACTTTCCAAGGTGCAGGGATTCGAACATTGCCAAGAAGAATCGATTTCAGGAAAGGAAATTATCTAAGCGCCCGTGAGTTTTACTCTAATGAACTTTGAAAGCTGTAATGAGTTGAAGGAAATTAATTCCTTGGGTTTCCCTCGAAAAGAGGAGTAATCTTGTCTTTCGTTGGAGAAACTACTCGTTAAGGAGCCGTTAGTGTTAATAAAAAGTCATTTCTTGTGAATTGGGACGTATTCAGTTGACCTAGGAATGATTGCTTCACGAGGGAGTTGGCAAAATTGCCGCACTTTTATCGTCTTTCTTTCTTTTGTCTGTCTTTCAAGAAATGGAACCACAGATGGGGAAAATGACCGACAAAGCCAGTGCTCGTATGCTGACGTTTGAGCTTTTCTGACATCAGGCAGAAAATGGACAGAAAATGCTCAAAATGTTTTTCTCGCATGCAGGGTTCGCATCGTCATAAACCAAAGTAAACAATATCTAAAATACAAACTAAAAAAATACTTAACTAAAAGGACTTTTGTACGGAGAAGGAAAATACACAGAGCATATTTCACTGGGCGAACGAAATCCTTCCCGAGCCCACGCGCGCGCGGGCAAGACCCTCCCCATCGCGACCGGCTGGAACGAGGCCAGAAAGCCGAGGAGTTCCCGTTTCTCCCGCTTGAGACGGCGGTTTCTCTCCTCCTCCGTCTTCAACTCCTCCTCCAGCCGCATCCACTTCTCTCTCCTCCTCTCCCGGAAAATCCTCGCATACTCCCGGTTCCTAACTCGCTGGAGCTCCTCTCGCTCCTTTCGCTCCTTTCGCTCCTTTCGCTCCTTTCGCTCCTCTCGCTCGTCATCCACTTGCGGCCTCGTCTCTCCATTCTTCACCTAAGTGCATCGCAGAGTTGATGAGAAACGCGGGGGTGGAGTGGATGCGCAATCCAGATAAAAGAAGATAATTATATGACATTATATACATTTTTTATAATTCATTCCCTGTAAGATTTATTTATTGCTGTGATGTCATCAGTACTTAAATAGGTGGCAACCATTTTTAGATTCTATGTCATTGCAAAAAAAAAATTGTATCATTGATCCTAATTCGAAGGAAACTCGGAAATCGATTTCGGCTCTGCTCAATATTCCCTGCAACCGATGAACCATTGGTGAACCATTGAGTTGTCAGTTCCGTGTAATGGTTCGTGGAGTGGGTCCGAGATACTTACTAGTCCGAGAGGAAACCGTTCTCGAGTGTCCCCGACCATCGACTTCGACGGCATGGGTTTCCCCAATTGATCGGACCCGGTCGACGCGACGGCCACGACTCGTCCGGATCCGGTTGTTGATCCTACAGGGGGAAAAAAAAAATTCTGTCAATTCCCAAGCATAAAATTCACCTCGGGTCATGTCGGCCACGCGAAACTTCACCAGTGGAGCCGACATCGCTCTCACGGCTGGACTGATGCACGGAAAAGGACGCCGATCTCACGTCCACCTTGATTTTCCCGACTTCGGTCGAGGGATTCGGCCTGGTACGAGCGTCCCCGAAGAGAATCTCATGCAGAAGAAAAGACTGCAGAATCCAACGATATTATTCGCATTATGCTTGAAAAAAAAAACTGCATCTGTTTCAACGTTCCCTTGGAGTACCGAAAGGTAAGACCGCGTAAACGAAACGCTCCAACGAGAGCAACAGAAAGCATGCAATAGCTCTCAGCTTTGATATTTTCTAACCTGATTTGAATCATGGAGAGAAACTTCTGCCGGTCTGAAGCTTGGAAACTGACAACTTTGTGCTGTCGCGGCCTGCCCGACGTTCTCAGGCAGGAAATACGACCCTGCCTCAGTTTGGCTCGACCAGGAGATTCCAGGGTCGCCCAGTCCTGCAGAAAGTCGGAAGCTCTCAAACGACACCTCTAATTGCATCACCGCCCATCGCTTCGAGAGGCCCAACGCGGAGCAAGGGAATCCCACCGTCGATCCAGGCGCCATCCACTGGAAGATCCTCCTCGGCAACGGGTGCTCCATCCTCCATCGCAGCCGCGCCCAAGGCGGAGAATCCACCCTCGACCTCCGTCCATCCCGCCGGTGCATCCCCGGCAGCCTTCAAGATCTCGGCAGGGATTTTCTCGATGTAAGCCCATACTTCCTGCGAGCGAGGGACGGCATCACGATTATCGCGATCATCGCGATTATCGTATAAAAGCCTCTGTCATGTTAGAGTTCGTCGTCAATAATACATTTCGAAGTTTTTTGTTCAATAATTCGAGACGTCCCACATCAACACAGGAACGCCCGTGAGACGATTCTTACATGTCGTCAATCGACACGCCACTCGGACCGACCTCGACAGGACGCTCCGAGGCCGCACCCACACGTCTCAGAAACGCAAAAAAAAAAAATACTTGAAAAAAATACGTGAAAGAGAAAACCCTCCACGCTCACCTCAAACAACTCGGACGCTTCGAGTCCCTCAAGGGAAATGTTGGACACGGAACGACACACCGCCCTGGAAGTCCTCCTTCACCTGCAACACCCAACAGGCGACAACCGCTTCTTAAGGGATTCAACGGNCGAGTCCCTCAAGGGAAATGTTGCGACACGGAACGACACACCGCCCTGGAAGTCCTCCTTCACCTGCAACACCCAACAGGCGACAACCGCTTCTTAAGGGATTCAACGGCCCACCAATCCTCACAGATGGCAACGACTCAAATCTTCGCCCTTCATCCTTTATCTCAAACTTGAACGATTCTCGCCACGAAATTCTGATTTAATTTCATCGCCGCCGGAAGCGGGAGGGGTGAAAAAGGAAAGCCCATTTCTCACTGAAATTTCCTCCGCCATCAAATGCAACAATCAGACGGCAATCGCCCCGATGACCTTGAAGGCAAGTCCTTGCCTTTCGTCGCGGAAGGGGTGGCAGAACGCCCAATGTCTCCTGAGAACCACCTTGAACCTCTGAACTCGTCGTTCCGCATTTAATTTCTTTCTTATCTCTTCGGCCCTATATAAATCAATAAATAATCGAATAAAGTCAATAGTTCCAGAAGGAACTTTTACTCGATGCATTCAGAGGATATTTCAGACGGGAAGGGCCTCGCAAGGCGGAACATACCATGCCGGCCATTATTTTTCCCCCCTCCCTTCGACAGCGGGATGATACCCTCCTCTGCGACCTCAAGACTTTTTTGATAAGACCAAGCGTTCGCCTACCTGCTGCTCCAGCACCAGGAATTTTTATTTTGCCCCTAGAGCTGGTCAAATGTAAGAAAAATAATAAATATAAGTAAAACCTTATACTGTACTTTTTAAGAAATTATAATTTCTTGCAAGGAAAGTATTTTTTTAATTCTCCTTTTGAAAAGTTAAGCCAATGCTTTGACACTTTTCGAGCAGTTCCACCAATTAGATTTGTGAGGTTTTCATGAGATCGGCTTTAAGTACTTATGATGTACCCTCTTCTCAGAGGGAGAATCGTGCCAAATACGCGACTCCTTCTCTGTGCAGTCAGGTGATCAGATCAGATCTCGTCCAGAATGAGTCTGATTCACTTAAGTTGCAGCCTCGCATGGAATCAGCTGAGGGATGGAAGTATTGTAGTACTAGCTGGAGTACATTCAAGCTCTCGGAGGTAGAATAGGCAATGCCAAAACGTTGTGGCAACATGGCCACGTCGACACGACATCATGCAGAATGGAATTCATATCCTCGGGGCAGCAATTTTCAGCACCAAACGGCATTTGGGTCTGGAATCGGAAAATCCAGGATTGGTTTCCGTTATACGGCTCGACTCGACGCTTTTTATGCGGCGCTTCACGCTTTTTTCCGGCGCTTCACGTTCTCTTGTTGTTTCCCAGGGAGATAATGGGACGTTTTCCGGGAATCGCGGTCTCTGACACGAGGGCGCTATGAACCTGAAGCGATAAGGGATCACAGGCCACAAGTGTGGCCTGGAATGGCATGCATTTCCTGTTTGTCAGGATTGTCGGCGAGGATTACATGCTTTATCCCTTCATTTCCTGGTTAACCACGTGCTCTCACGAAGCAGACGCCATCGCCCTTGACTTCGCACGTGGGAAAACGAGCGGGCAAATCCCCTGGTGACGTCACGTCCTACTACGCACGCCTGAGACTAGATGTCTCTCATTGCGAAGGCGAACCACTTCCGCAGCGGAGGCCGAGCGCATCCAACCCCGTGACCAAGAGGAAGGCGCGCGTCGCAGTCCGCTGCCTCTGCAGCCCGCCGACGGAGTCCAAGCATTCTGGGGGTAATTTTTCCATTCCTTTTTCCTGTAAAAGCGAGAAAGAAAATTCGTAATTCATCGTCCACCAACGAATCGCCATCGTGGAACCTGACGGTATTCCTCAACTGAAAAAAAAAAAGCCAATCGGTATTCCAAAATTTTTTTTCAACCGTTTCTCCGTTCTTGAAGAGCCAAAGGCAAGTGTTCCTTTCCATGGAAAAACCCATGAGCATATTTTTCATTCCGTTCCATTTCATGATTTCACTTTCGCTGGAGATGAACCCATTTTCACTTCTTTTTTTATTTTTACATAAATAACAACCTATCCATTTTCAGCTCCAAACAGTAAGGGCAATAATAGTGCATTTACTGTTGGAACGGAAACTTTTTTTTTCATCGCGAAAAATTGCTCGTGAAAAGTTTTTCTGTCGAAAATTGCGAAATTTGGATTTCTCCAAAATTAGTGCTTCGTTGCAGTTGGCTTTTAAGTTAAATTGCGATGTCGGATGGCAATCCTTCAACTGTCATAGGGCTGGAAATTTCTTCTTGTTTCATGTCGACAAAAATTTGGCGCAGGTAAGCAAAAACTTCCTCTTAGGACGTGAAAGAATCCATGTCCTTCCTAGGATGTATATTATTTTCGTGCCAATTCTGCCAATTGCGTGCCAATAATTTTTATTTTCCTCCAGGAATATTACAGACAATATTCTAAATCGAATTTTTGGCAAAAAAAA